AAGTTAGGAATTAATCAATCAATCAATCAATCAAAAGTTGGATTGACGAGCAGTTTCGTGGCCAAGTCAAGCCTGCTCCCTCATTATTTCATGACAAATGATGCGGGCATAATATCTGAAGTTATAGTTTTTTACTATAATGTTAAAAACAGGGTGCTAAGAGACGTCAGTGCAAACCAAACAAGCAAACCTATGGGAGAAGTCGCAAAAACATTAGGTGTGGTGCAAAAAGAATGAACGCACCGAGCAGCTCAGCAGCACCAAAAGGCCTGAAAAACCACAGAAGACAACTCGAGTGTGTGACGACAGAGTTCCATTGTTGAGAGAAACAGCTTTACAACATCTAACCAAGTCAACACTTTCAAGGATGTAGGCGTATCCCTGTCAAAGTCTACAATCAAGAGATACCTTTATGTAAATACAAAGCATGTACAATGTAAATACAGCAGGTTCATAAGGTTCAAACCACTGGTTATACTTGAAAACAGGAAGATCGGATTATACGGCACGGTTTGGACAGATGAAACCAAGATTAACTTTCAGAATGATGGAAAAGGAAAAGTACGGAGAAGGGAACAAACATGATCTGAAGCATACCGTATCATCTGTCAGACACGATGGAGGTAATGTTATGGCATGGATATGTATAACTGCCAGTGGCATTAAGTCACTAGTGTTTATTGATGATGTGCACCAGGATGGATTGTACTACACTTGCTACACTCTCTCCTCAGATTCAGCCAAATGCTGCAAAATTAATCAGACAGCGCTTCACAGATGGATAGATAATGACCCAAAGCATACTGCTCAAGAGTTTAAATAAATAAAATATTCTTCAGTGGCCATGTCAGTCACCTCGTCTTGGCTCAGCATCTTTTCAGTTATTGTATACAAACTGAAAGCAGACAAGCAGCAACTGAGGGTGGCTGCCGCCTCATAATCTTAAAGGAGGAAATGCAGCATTTTGACATGTCTACTGGTTCTAGACTTCAGGCAGTCATTGACTGCAAAGGACCTCTATCCAAATATAAAAACAGTCCATATATTGACATTGTGTTAGTTTCTCTAATTAATCTGGACAACAACTGTAGTATGTTTAAAGCTGGAACTCACAAGAGGAACCTGTCACAAAATATATTTCTCATTGGGCTTTCAAAAATCTCCACATTAACAAGCAATCATAATCCCAGATGGAAATACAACCTTAAGAGCAGCAACTTTCCCTCACTTTACTTGTTGAAATCTAGCTTCTGCTGTCTACACTTATCTGGCAAAGTTTATCTTGCAAAGTGATTGTATAAAGAAACCATTACTGGCCTGTTCCTGTTCTAGCGATGTGATGGTGATGTGAGAGACACGAGCAGAATCACCGTCACTCCTAAGTACAGGAAATGATGAGAAATTTTTCTTGTCTTCAGGCCTGAGGTACCAGATGCCTTGCCAAAAGAGGGATTATCTTCTCCTTTCCATCTATAGTTTGGTTCTTGTTTCACTCATCCCAATCTGTGTTTTACATTTACGTTTTAAGCTTTTAGCAGACTCTCTTTTATTTTCACTGACATACCTGCCTCTCAGAAGCTGCTGCAGAGCAGATGTGGAGGTGGTGCCGTTTGTCTAATTTGCCAGCTCATTTCCACCAATCTCTCTGACAGAGGCAGCCTTTCTTACGGGAAGCGCCTTCCATTAAAAGTTTATTTAGCAGAAGCCAGAGGAATGATTAAAATTCTGCACTTGCCAAATAGGATGAGGAACATTACTGGGGAGCTGGTGATTACACCCCAGTGTGTGCGTTGTGTATGTGTGAACAGGAACATGCTCGTGTACATCTTTTTCTCTGTCAGTGTCTTTCCTAAAGGCATCACAATCATCTGTAATATGACTATAAGTGTATGAGAGGAAGCTGAATAATGAAGTTAGCACGTATCTGCAAATTGGACTTAATTGCTTTTCTCTCCCCCTCCCGTTTGTTTTTTCCCCTCTCTTTCTAGAGTGGTCCACTGCTATCGTCCAGTGTTTCCCCTCCCCTCAGTTTTCCGTCTCCCTGTCTGTCAACCTGGTAAGTACTCTCAGATTCACCTCCCACATATACAATACAGAGGCTTTCAGTGTTTTTCATTCCTTTATGTAATCATCAGCTCCCTTGCTAGCTTGAACTACAAATTGGTTTAACCTTTGCAAAACAGAGCATCATTTCTGTAAAAAATGTACATATTTATGGTACATGACAGCGTGGTA